GTAGGAAAGAGACACCTTTGCCCAGGTGTGGCGATCGAAAAAAGCTTTATCGCTGCTGCACCTTTCTGTGATCAGATTAAAACCCTGAAGGAGACACGAGGACCAAAGCCAGACCCGCCAGGCTACGGCTGAACTCCAGAGAGAAGTGCCAATAAAAAAAGCGATGCAGTTAACTATCCTGTTGTTGAGTCTGTGATGGATGGGAAGTCTGCTTCACCGTCCCGAGATCTCCATCCATCATCACGAGTATGCTGTGAGAGATATTACTGAGGGAGGGAGGGATCTAGCAGGAAGCATGATGAAGAGGAGAACGATGGATGAGAAGACAAGTATTCATAGGAGGGAGAGAGACATCAGATGTGTGTTAGAGCCTCACGTTTCAAGCACACAAAGTCTACATTTGGAGAAACAGCAAAGCTTGCACTCTTGGTGTTTTGCAGGCAACCTAGCAACTGCTGCTATGTGCTGCACAAACCCAAGTTAAAAGCATCCGGACCGGGTTCAGCCTCGGGCCCCGCTGTGATGTCTCCACCACTTCAGAGGATTGCTGTTTATTAAACAAAAGAGGGAGAAGAGGTAATGCAAGTGTCACTCTGTGCCACCTAAAACAGAGAAGACACAAGATGGGGAGGAGGAAAGATGACTGGGAGGGAGCAAATTAAGTTTCCTCCAGAGGATATCATCATGGGAAACCCCGGTGGCAGAGAGGAGGACAGAGAAAAATGAGGAAGAAGGGAGGAAGGCTGGGCTAGCTGCCAGCTCAAAATACTGGTAATCCTTACATGCACACACACACACTTCGGATTCCTTGCTGGCCGTGGCCTGTCGATATGATGCCACTGTGATTCATGATAGCTAAACTTGCATCACTTTAGCTAATGATTCCCTATACACGCTGCTGCTGTTTGCGTGCACACGCGCGTGCTCACTGCACAGGAGATGACCGAGGACTGAGGAGGCGACTTCCACATCTATTTAAACAACCATTAACCAAACGCACACAAACACACAACGAGTAATAACTCACAATGAACGTGTGCACATGCATAATGTAAGTGGTCCGCTCAGAGAGGAGACGGGCAAAGGCCACAACATGTCAGACTCACATCCATAAACACTGCCCACATGACATTCAGAGGCACACTGAATCACCACAGCGCCAGGTGATTACTCCAGACTGGAGCAACCCAGGAGCGACAGCCGAACAGCTGAACCGATGAAACAATTAAACAATAATGTTCCAACAAAAGTCATAAAACTGAGACTGAAACTCAACTTTTTTAATGAGAAACACTAGATTTACGTGAGCCATCAGCAAAACATGCTTTTCCTTGTGAACTACAAAAAACCACTAGAACCAGTTTAAGAAAAGCAAATATAACCCAGTCAGTGTCTACTCTGCAGACAGACCAGTTCCCTTCCAGCTGTGGTCCAACAACCTTTTGTTACGACACCGAAACTATGAAAAGTTTTATGTGCTGTTAGCATTTAGCACATGATTTACCATCTCAGCTCATTAGTCCCTGCTGAACTCCCAAATCTTATTTACATCGGGTGACTCGTTTTTCTCGATTTGCATTTTCATATATGCCGTGGAGTATGACAGGGTGTTAGCTGTGTAACTGTAACGCTGCGACAGAAGCATCTGTATTTGTTTTGACAGTATGATTACATAGTTTATGACTTCCAGAAGCTCAACAGGACCGTGTGCTGCAGCTAACGGGCTGAAGCTACGTGTACTCTGCCTTTAAACAAAGAAAAACAAACAAACAAAATCATTTTAAATACAAGTTTTCAGTTGTTGAGCTGCTGCGTGACAGAAGAAACCCCCCAGCACCACTTTCACCTGATAACTTTAAGTAGATGCAGTAAAAGAACTAGATGTTATGGTCATCTCTAAAGTTAGAAATATCCTGTCTCAGAGTGACGCTGAAAAACTAGTTCATGCATTTATTACTTCCAGGCTGGACGACTGTGATTCATTATTATCAGGAAGTCTTAAAAACTCCCTGAAAAGCCTTCAGCTAATCCAAAATGCTGCAGCCAGAGTCCTGACAGGGACTAGAAAGAGAGCAGATTTCTCCTGTTTTGGCTTCCTGTTAAATCCAGAATTCAAAATCCTGCTCCTCACATACAAGGTCTTAAATAATCAGGCCCCATCTCATCTTAATGACCTTGTAGTACCATATCACCCTATTAGAGCACTTCGCTCTCGCTCTGCAGGCCTACTTGTTGTTCCTAGAGTATTTAAAAGTAGAATGGGAGGCAGAGCCTTCAGTTTTCAGCCCCTCTTCTGTGGAACCAGCTTCCAGTTTGGATTCAGGAGACAGACACTATCTCTACTTTCAAGATTAGGCTTCCTTCCCACTGTCGCCAAAGTGCTTGCTCGTAGGGGGTCGTATGA